AACAATTTTTAAACATAATTATTTCATTTTACTTAAATAAATATTTTTCATTTTAAAAGATAATTTTTATATTTTTTCCTCCTTATAATAATTTACCATTAAAAATATATTAACAATTATCATTTTATAGTATTTTTACTAAGAACATTTGGTAATTTAATTTCTATCATTAAACTATTTTTTTATCTGTCATATCAGTCAAATTTTACAATAATTTTTACAAACTTTACTTTCATATTCATTCTCACTTATCTTTAAATCTCTTCAAAAAAGACACAATCAACTTACTTCCAAATTCATTGATCCCTATCCCTCAAATCCATCATACAATGTGAACACACTCTTAGAAATGAGTATGAAAAGAAGTAAACACATGCCTTATTTTGCCTATATATTTAGTTCTTTCAATTACGTATTTATTACAATTAAAAAAAATACAAGTTTGATTAACTATAACTTTTTTCTATAAGACACACTTGTTAAAATTATATTAATTTAATATTTAATTATTTCATTCTCAAAACAAAGTTTATATTTATATTGACGGTTAAAAATTCATAAAAAAAGAACAATATAAAAATAAATAAAATTTTAAATATGCTTTTTATTTATTAATTTTTAGTGAAAATTGAAAATAGTCCACTTTTCAGTGAAAATTAATCATAGTCAATTTTTAAAATTTTAAATTAATTTAATTTTCTAACTTTAAAATTGTGTAGATTTAATTTTTTTAACTAAAGTTTGTTATGTATTTTATGATAATATTTAAATTGTTTATATGTTTTGACACATTTTTGTTTAATGTTAATTAAAGAATATGTCAAATAAATTTAACAAATTTTAATTATAAAAATTAAATCTATATATATTTAAAGTTAAGAAAATAGATAGAACCAAATTCTCATAATTTTCACTTAAAAATTAAAGAACCAAACACATATTTTAACAAGCATGAGTAATAAAAAAAATTTGTTTGTGAAGTTGTTTTTTTTTAATTACAGTACGAATATTCATCATGAAAAATAATAAATAATATTATTGAGACCTTGAAGCCATACATGATAGATTTAGAAGCTTTGTTTTAATTTTTTATTTTATATTTTTTGAAAATAAAACACTGAAAATGGATTTTATTCTATGCATTTTTATAATGAAGTTGATAAAATATTTTGTGTATTAATTTTTAAAAATAATAAGATATTAATTATATATTTTTTTTTGAAGTTTTTAAATGTGTATTTAGAGTAACTATTCAAACGAACATAATAAAAATATATACATTTTATAATATTTTTAATAAGTTTTCAAACTATTTTTTAAATAGAATAAACCCGTGATAAAAAAAATTATAGTAATATTACTGTTTTTATTAAATTTGAATAAAATCATTATTATAATAATAATAATAATTAATGTTTGATTTATAAAATGTAAAGGTGTGTTGAAACAAATACTATAAAGGAAGACACTTAGATATGTAACAGAAAAGAACAGCATGAGAGTTTGGAGTAGGTTGAAAAATTAGTTACAGTTATTGAAAGACGGAGAAAAAAACGAAGTACAGAAGAGAGTTATAACGTTGAATGTGACGTAGTTGTTGTGAGTGGCTTGCGTGCTTGTATGTCAAAACAGAACTCATCCAAATTCTTTCACTTTCTGACATTTCGAGTAAAAATTAAAAAATAAATGCAAACACGAAACTAACGATTGAAAGAAAAAAAAAAAAATAAAATAAAAATCTTTGGTTTTATTTTTGCTAGC